ATAGAGAAGGAAGCTGCAGCATTGAAGATCAAGGTTGTGTGGGACACCATTATGCACCAAAATTCTCTCAGCCCTACTCTCCATCCAGCTGCTGCTGGGGGACCACTTCATGTGGGCTTTGACTGGCTCTGCACCAGGACCATCAGGCAGCACTTCCACTTAGGTGGAGGTGATACTGCTCACCTCTTTTTTTTTTAAATTAATTTATTTATTTCTGTCTGCATTTGGTCTTCATTGTTGCACACGGGCTTTCTTTAGTTGCAGCGAGTGGGGGCTACTCGTCATTGCGGTGCATGGGCTTCTCATTGCAATAGCTTCTTTTGTTGCAGAGCACAGGCTCTAGGCATGCAGGCTTCAGTAGTTGTGGCACACGGGCTCAGTAGTTGTGGCTCGCGGGCTCTAGAGCGCAGGCTCAGTAGTTGTGGTGCATGGGCTTAGTTGCTCCACGGCATGTGGAATCTTCCCGGACCAGGGCTTGAACCTGTGTCCCCTGCAGTAGCAGGCGGATTCGTAACCTCTGCGCCACCAGGGAAGCCCACTGCTCACCTCTTAAATAGTTCATCGAACACTTACTATAGGACCCAGCAATTCTATTCCTCGGTAACTAACCAAGAGAAATGAAGCATATGCCCATGCAAAGACTTGTACATAAATATTCATAGCAAGATTATTGTAATAGCCAAAACTAGAAACAATGTCCATCAACTGATGAATGGATAAACAAAATGTGGTCCATCCATGGACTACTTCTCAGCAATTCAGAGGAACAAACTGCTGACACATAATCACTTGGATGAACCTCAACAGCACTATGGCAAGTGAAAGAAACAAGACACAAAAGATTACGTACTGTGTGTGGTTCCATTTATAGGAACTTTCTAGAAAAGGTGAATCTATATCAGTGGTTTCCTGGGGCTGACGATGGGAACAAGGAGTAATGGCGAACAAGCACGAAGGACTTTTCCTAGGATGGAAGCGTCCTACAATTGGATTGTGCTGATGGTTGCACAACTGTTTACTAAAAATCATCAAACTGTGCTCTTACAATGGGTGAATTTTATGCCATATAAATTATACCTTATTGAAATTGTTTAAATAAAGAATTTCAACTTTTATGTCAAGCAGCATTTGGCACAACTGATCATTTCCTCCTCCTTGAAATCCCGTCTTCATACTCTTGTTTTCTCTGACCTTACTCAGGGTTCAATTCACTCCCCCTAAGTGACCTCCTTCAGGTCTGTGCCTTTACATATTGGCACTGATGATGTCCACATTTACATATCTGCAGCCCAGCCCTCTCTCCTGAACTCCAGACTCTAAAACCCAAATGCCTCCTCACAGTCTCCTTGGATATGTGATGCACACCTCAAATGTCATATGTCCACACTGAGCTCCTGCCCTTCCCAACCCCGATCTGAGCCACCCTCAGGGTCCCCATCCCAGCTGATGGCAGCTCCTTTCTTCCCACTTGTGAGGCCAAAAGCCTTGGAGTTGTCTTTGACTCCTCTTTTTCTCTCCCACCCATATCCAACCCATCAGCAAACCTCAACTGGCGCTTCCTTCTAAATACACCCAGAAATGGGTCACTTCTGCCCACCACCTTGGTCCAGCTCATTGTCATTCCTCGCAGGCATTGCTGCAGTAGCCTCCTCTTCCCTGCTTCCACCTTTTTCCCACAGCCTTTTCACAACAAGATATCCAAAGTTGTGCTAATAACATGTAAACCCAATCACATCATGCCTCTGCTCTGGTTCCCCATTTCATTTGGGCCTATGTGACCCAGTCCCATGTGACCATTCTGACCTCAGGACTCGGTCACTCTGCTCCAGTCCCACTGGCTTCCTTGCTATTCCTTGAACATGTCAAACATTCCCACCTCAGGACCTTTGCACTTGCTCTTTCTCCTGCCTAGAATAGTGTCCCTCCAGAATTCTAAAATAGTCTTGTGATTCCCACCCCTGGTATCCATACCTTTGTGTAATCTCCTCCAGTTGCATGTGGGTAGGACCTGTAACTTTCTTCTAACCAATAGAAGAATATGGCAAAAGTGTTGGGGGATCACTCCCATGATTATACTATAAGCTAAAGATGAAGGGATTTTGCAGATGTAATTAAGGGCCCAATTATCCAAATTAATCACTTTGATTTTGAGTTAGAAGATGACCCTGGTGGACCTGGCCTAATTAGGTGAGCCCTTTTAAAAGAGGGTTGGGGACTTTCCTGGTGGCGCAGTGGTTAAGAATCCGCCTGCCAATGCAGGGGACATGGGTTCAAGCCCTGGTCTGGGAAAATACCACATGCCGCGGAGAAACTAAGCCCATGCACCACAACTACTGAGCCTGCACTCTAGAGCCTGAGAGCCACAACTACTGAGCCCGCGTGCCACAGCTACTGAAGCCCACTCACCTAGAGCCCGTGCTGCACAACAAGAGAAGCCACCGCAATGAGAAGCCTGCGCACCGCAACGAAAAGTAGCCCTTGCTTGCAGCAACTAGAGAAAGACCGCACACAGCTACAAAGACCCAACACAGCCAAAAATAAATAAATTTACATTTTAAAAAAGAAAACATACATAAAGTTTAAAAAGTTATTAAAAAAATAAAATAAAATAAAAGAGGGTTGCCTGCACTTAGAGACTTGAAGTACCAAAGACTCTTTCTCTCTGTTGCTGGCCTTGAAGATGCAAATCACATGAGTTCTACAGCTGCAAGGCAATGCATTCTGCCAACAATATCCCAGGCTCCAGAAACGAATGCTGCCTGGCTGATATCTTGACTGCAGCCCTGTGAGACACTGAGCAGAGGACCCAGCTGAGCCGTGCCCAGACCCACAGAAACTGTGGGGTAATAAGTAGATGTTGTTTTAAGCTGCTAAATTTGTGGTAACTTATGACATAGCAATAGAAAACCAGTCCACCCTCAGATATCCACATGGCTTCTTTCCTCACCTCCTTCAAATGTCAGATGTCACCTTCACAAACAGACCTAGACGGAGCACCTCAGGAAAACTGCAACAAGTCCCACCTTTTCCTCCATAGCACTTACTGCTTCCTAACCCACTGAAATATGTTTCTTGCTTCTCCCCCTCCACTAGAATATAAGCGCCTGAGGGCTGGGATTTTTGTCTGTTTGTATCACTGATGTTTCCAAGCATCTGTACTGGGACCTGGTGCATCTTCAGATGACAGTTGTTGAACAGCTGAAGGAAAACTGTCCTGTGGGGGACACTATGCTAAAATAATCTATGTGCATGTGTTAACTTGGGTGAGGTCACTGTGCTCACAGGGCAGGCGGGAGGCCTTTCTGGGGCTGCCTCCAGGGTCAAGCCCTTGGCCTTCTAGCCCGGCAATGCCAATGAGCTGATTTGGGTGAGAAACAAGACCAGCTGCTGACTGGTAATCCAGGTCAGCCTGATCTGCTCAGCCTGGCAGCCTCAGCACCCACCTTGAGGGGGTCAACAAGAGTGCAGAGGAGGCTGTCTCCTCTCCCAGGGATGACAATGACCTCATTTTTTCCTATTGCACGTCGGGATCCCCAGAGAGCAGACTGAGATGGAGTTTAACATGCAGGATGCTTATTACCAAGGGCCCTTGGGACCCACACTTGTGGGAGGGAGGAGGTGGAAACAAGGCTAGGCAGAGGGAGAACTTCCATGCAAGGCTCAATTGACCCCACAGGGATGTCCTGAGCTGAAATAATCCTTCAGAGTTGTCCGGCATTAGGCCAAAATGGACCAGTCATTGGATGTGGGCCGCCGGGGGAGGATGTGACTATGACCTTGGGACAGGCGGCTCTCTGTAGCTGAGGCAGGCCTTGGATGGGCTGTCAGCCAAAGGCTATCTGATGACCACTCTCCCAGCAGCTGGGTGGCAAGTCCCTTCTTGAAGGAGGATCCATGCTGAGCACCTCCCTGGTCATGACAACACTGATCAACACCCTTTCCACTGAGGCAGTCTGTCTCTCTTTTATTTTTAATGATTTTCATTTTAAGATACTGTACATTAAAAATGCAAAAAAAATCAGTTGTTTTTCAATTTTATTTTTGGCTGTGTTGGGTCTTAGTTGCGGCACGTGGGATCTTCATGAGGCATGCTGGATCTCTAGTTGTGGCGAGCAGGTTTCTCTCTCTAGTAGTGGCCCGCAGGCTCAGTACTTTCAGTGCACAGGCTTCATTGCCCCGCAGCATGTGGGATCTTAGTTCCCTGCATTGGAAGGCGGATTCTTAACCACTGGACCACCAGGGAAGTCTCCCAAAATCACTGTTTTTAAATGCATAACTAAAAACATAGAATTACAAATGAAACCAGTTATATTTATGAGCAGGTATCAAAATATTAAAAACATCTGAGATACAGTCACAAATGTGCTTCTTTATTTAAAGCATTAGATAACAAGATCTAGTGGCAGGTCCAATAACTGCCATAATTTCAAAGTGATGATGAGTCTGATGTTTAGAGACATTTGCGATAGCTGTCGTAATGGGATAGGAGGACATCTGCCATTTTGATTTGCAACAAAGCCACGGGTATTGCAAATTCCACTGTGGTTTGTTGTCTACCTCACAGCTGAGGAAAGGCTGAATTTCAGTTAGAAGTGAGAGAAAATAAAATCTTTTCCGATCTCAGTTCCGGGTGCAGGGAAATGGTTGCTGGTGTGGGGAGTGGGGCTGGGGTTCCAGGAAATCTGTGTTCAGGAGGAGGAGGACTTCTTTGTAGAGGGGAGCTAGGCTGCGTGTGTGGTTGGCTGAGAGGGAGTCCTGCCGGAGTTTCTTCTGGCCTGGAGGAGTCCGAGGGTCCAGCCTGACCCCCACCCCAAGGTATTGGGAATGGGGGAGGGGGCTGCAGGGCGTCCCCCCACCCCCCACCAAACCCTGTCCCACCCTAGGGCCCAGGCCACAGCACTGGCTCCCCTCCCAGAGCTGCTTCCTTCCCCTAGCGGCATTCGGCATTCGCTATCATTGCCAGGTCCATTAGCCATTAGCCGATGCGGTGACCTTGACCCGGCCTGGACCCTGCAAATGAGGGGGCACGCCGGGGGCGCAGGGCCTGAACCGCAGCGGCCTGCTGTGACCAGTCATGCGGCGGCCCTCTTAGACACTGCTCCGCCTACGCGGCCCCTGGGCATAAAAAGCCGGGCCAGAGAGACAGCGCAGCCGCCGGACCCCGGACCCAGCCCTCCCGCACCATGGCCGCCCCCAGCCTCGCCTGCTGCCTGCTCGGCCTCCTGGCGCTGACCTCCGCCTGCTATATCCAGAACTGCCCCCTGGGCGGCAAGCGGGCCGTGCTGGACCTCGACGTACGCAAGGTGAGCGCCCAGCCCTAGTCCCGCGGCACTTGAGGCTGGGCAACCCGCAGCCACAGGGTCGCCCCTGCCGCTCCCTTTCCCGCGCTGACCCCGCGCCGGCCCCGCCTGGCCTAGGAACCAAGGCAGCCGAGTAGCTTTTGAGTCCCCTCCTTCGACCGCTTCTGGGGGCCAAAGAGCGCCAGGGAGACCCCCGAACCTCCGGCGCTCCTCTGCTCAGCCGGCTCAGCCCCCCGCCCCGCAGGCTCTCCCTCCCGGGCCCGGGCCCCTCCCCGCCCCCGGCTCACCCCCGCCCTCCCGCCAGTGTCTCCCCTGCGGCCCCGGGGGCAAAGGCCGCTGCTTCGGGCCCAGCATCTGCTGCGGGGACGAGCTGGGTTGCCTCGTGGGCACGGCCGAGGCGCTGCGCTGCCAGGAGGAGAACTACCTGCCGTCGCCCTGCCAGTCGGGCCAGAAGCCGTGCGGGAGCGGGGGCCGCTGCGCCGCCGCCGGCATCTGCTGCAGCCCGGGTGAGTCAGGCTGGAGCCGGGGCGGGACCGGGACACCGGGACCAGGCGGGGCGGGCCGTGGCGGGCCCTGACCCGGCGTCTCTTCATGCAGACGGCTGCCGCGGCGACCCCGCCTGCGACCCCGAGGCCGCCTTCTCCCAGCTCTGAGACCCGCCGGCCCCCGACACCGTCGGAGCGCAGCCCTCGCTCCCTCCGTAGCCACCCCCAGGAACTATGACTATTAAATAAAGCAGATTTTTTCCCCTCCAGCCCGACTCGCGTCTAAGTGTCAGAACTGGGAAGGGAGGGCGTTGGGGGAGTCGAAGATTGCCGGCTCTCGGCGCTTCATAGGGAATTAAAGCCGCCACCCCGAGGGGAGAAGGGTGCCGTTCCGCGGTGACGTCCTGTAGGGGTGGATGGAGGAAGGAGGGGGACGACATGGCTGGCTCCCAGGGAGATGGAAACAGTCCCCTGCTTCCCCCTCCAACAGAGCTGGGGGCCTACAGCAGGCTGGACATGAGAGGAACTTTCTAAGGTCCAAAGCGACAGAGTGGGGCCTGCAGAGATAAGAGTCTGACGGGGCACCAGAGGAAGGGTAGGAGGTTGGTGGTAGAGAGTGAAAGACTTCCTGACATCTGGAAGCAGGCTTGGGTCACACATGAGGGCTGGCCTGGGGGAGGGGAGCTTGGCTGGGGCAGCTGAAGGGCCTTCACGTTTCCAAGGAGCTGGACTCTCAGACCGCAGGAGGCCACCTGTACTCTCAGAAGGGGTGGCCAAGCTGGGGAGGCTGGGCGGGAGGGCCAGCACAGCCACCCTGTGGCTTGTTGTCCCACCCAGGAGGCCCTGGGTTCCCAGTGTTGCATGGAAGCCAGGAGCCCTGCTCCTGACTGCAGTAAAGAAATGTGACAGCACTGGGGACCCTGCAGAACAGGGGTTCCTGAGAGCCCATAGCCACAGAAATGACCACAAAATGCAGAGGACACTAACAGAGAGACTCCTGCAACCTACACTTCTCATCTGTTCCTGGATCAAAGACCATTTTGGAGCAGCTATAAAAGCCTAACCCCTCTCCCCCAGAATGTGCCACCACTCACTTACTCGTGCTGTGGGACAAAAGCGATTTCAGAAGGTGCATGCCCACACACCCACTCCAAATAAAACAAGAGCGCATCACTATCTGTTAGTAATTTTTATATGTTATTTCTGTGGCTTTCTCACACACTGAAGCAATGAGGATTCACTCAGAGGCCTCCCACCCACCACAGGCAGTGTGTCGTCTCAGAGTGAAGAGAGAAAAAGTATACTAAAGAGGACTGTAAGGTTTTCTTTGTATAAATTACAAAACCAGGCAAAACTAAGCTATGGTGCTAGAGGTCTTGGGTGTGGTGGTGACAGGAAGGGGTATAAGGGGGCTTCTGGTGTGCTGGTCATATTCTGTTTCTTGGCCTGGGAGCTGGTAAAACAAGTGTGTTCAGTTTATTAAAATTCATTCAGATTGCACACATGTGATTTGTTCACTTTTGTATGTATATTATACTAGAATAAAAGTTTTTTAATGAAAAAATTATCATTATTACTGAGATGTATGAAGAGAAGAGAGATGAAGCTTTTGAAAGCCCCAGTGGTTCCTGACAAGGCTGTGAGAGCAGGTCCCTCCTCTTACCCCCCATATCTGGAACAAGAAATGACTGAAAGCTGAGTCCTGTTCAAATCAACCATGGGGAAGTATGTGATTCTCATAAATTGGTGTTTGAGAACCATGTCAAAGTTCTGTGGTCCCTCAGAAACCACACAGATGAAGAGGGAAGCAACCAGAAGGAACCACACTACTCAACTAGAGAGACACAAGGTTAGGGATTTGTGCTTTTCCAAGCTTGGGCATCCACCGGCCACATCAGCAGAAAGCCTGGGATCTCCCTCTGGGACATCAGTCTCTGAGTGCCCTGCATACCCTTCAAACCCAAGAGGATTCCATAGAGCAGAGCCATGTCAGCCCAGGTCTCCCCACCTGGAGAGAGAGTTCAGGGTCCCCTCACCCCTCCAGTGTTTCCTTTTCTGGTCTCAATAACACAGGGGCAGATTGACACCTCTTTTTCAGGGGATGATGCAGAGGTGGCATCAACCTGGGCCTGGTGAGGAAGAGGAGCTGGGAGAGTTGCCACGTGTGCTAAGTGAAGTGGTTCAGTGGCCAGACGGTGCAGAAGCCATTCTTCACTCTTCCTCCTCGCTCAGACCCATGGCCTTTGTCCTCCTTGGAATGACTCCTTCAAACTACCAAAGTGCTTGGGGCTTGTGCAGGGTGGTGGTTCCCAACCCCTGCTTTGTATAACTAGTACTTTGTGAACCCATTTAACTACCTGGGAATGAAATTCCTAGATAACATGCCCACCCACACACAATTTCAAAAACATATAATTAGTCCTAGCAGTAATATAAAGTAGAGAAAAGGAAAGTAATTTAGTACAAAATAACACTATTTTAATATGTAGCTAAACATGTCAGGCTACACTGGGTGACATATACACAATAAGGTCATCTCATGATTATATCTGCTTATATCAAATACAGTAAAAAGAGATTGGAAGCCAATCTCTACAGGACATTCAGGAAAATAAGATGGTCAAAGCACCATGAGGATCAATAGTCTTTTTTGTACCTAAAGAAAAGATGGACTCAGATATCAATGAATCACAAAGAATGTATTCATGGGACACCTGGGGAAATTTGAACAGTATATATTTGATGATAATATATATTGTTGAGTTTTGGCTTGGGGCTTGCATGTGTGTGGTAACAGTCTGTGGTCATATCTTTAACAAAAGTTCCTCTCATTTGAGATGCACACTGGAACGTTTACAGATGACATGGGATGACTACTGGGATGACTTGGGGGTGGGAGGAGGGAGTGGAGGTAGAGATGAAAGAAGGATCATGTGTTGATAATTGTGGGAGTGAAGGAGGGGGTAGGTACCCAAGGGGTCTTTGTTTAGTGGCTCTACTTTTTTGTATATTTGAAATTTCTCTTAATAAAAACTAAAAAACCAAAAAGATTGTGGTAGAGGTAAATGTTCTGATATGAAGAGATGCCCCAAATTTACTTTGTTAAAAAAAGATGTGAATTACTTTGTTAAAAAAGATGTGAGTAGTATCTGTACATTATGAAATAATACTAATTTGTAAAATAAAAATTCATATGTGTGCATACCAGAACACTGTGGGCAACCTCAGAGATGAGCTCTTCACAGCTGTGAGAAGCTTTAGGACACAGCATTCCAGTCTGAAAGCTGTAATCATTGACTGCATCACTGAGCATTTATTGCTGTGATTTATTTTTATGTCACTCTGTACTATCCAGCTCCTCCAGTACAACCCTGAAGGACAGCAATTTCAGTTTTCTGTAGGGTCTATGTGGACAATAAGTTTACCCTGCTTCCATACCTACTAAATTTCGTGTAGTTTAGTTTTTAAATTTGGAATGGTTTGAAATTATACCAGAAGTTTTTCCCAGCATCATAAGAGGTGATTGTCCATGGGGCAGAGGTCAGAAATATTTTTTCCCTTTCCCGATATTTTCTTCCATGTAGAGGGGTTTCCCTGAGATAACACTCCTCCCAGGGAGTAGCTGACTTGTGGGGCAGGGTGAGAGGAAAGGAGCAGGTATAATGCCACCCCTTCCTCTCCGATCCCTCTTGGGATGAGGCTGCCATCCCAGGAAGCATGTGCTGTCACAGTGCAAATGCAGGAGCTCAGCGGTAAGCCCTATGAAGTTCCAGCTCCTTGTGTCTGGGACAGTAAACAGCTCTAGCTTGTTACTCAGCTTTGTGAAGCCTCCTTGCCAGCAGGTCCAAATTGCATTGTTTAATATCAGTTCTATCAATAATAAAGGTAGTCTTCTGGCCTCCAAATGTCACATTCTTTTATTTCATTTTTTAATTGTTTCAGAATTCAGGGGTTATAGTTAGTTAAAGTTAGGCTGCCATTATAAAAACACCCAAACCGTAAGGAGAACTTAGGGAGGTAGAGAAGGTCACTGTTTAATTCCCTCTGTCCTATCAGTCCTCAGTGAACATCCTCAGCTCTGTTCCACTTTGTCACTTAGGGACCCAGGTTTCTTCTCTCATATAGTTCTGTCATCCCCTAGGCCTCATCTCTGCCTGCATATTTGAGACCAGGACGTTGTGGATTCCACTGGGTGGGAAGGGAAAGAGTGTGGAGGAGGCTCACACTGTCGTTAAGACCCCAAGTTCACTATTCCTTTCACTCACATTTTATTGACAAGAACATGGTCATATGGACACACAGTGCAAATGAAGCTGGAAAATGTAGCTACAATTCTATTACTACACAGTGCCAATCAAATTCCCAGAAGGATTTTTTTGGTACGAATTGCAAAGGAGCTAAAATAGCTAAATCAGTTTTGAAGAAGAAAGTTGAAAGAGTCTCACTACCTAATTTCCAGACTTACTGTAAAGCTACCACACTCAGGACAGGGTGGGAGTGGAGAAAAGATAGGCCTATTGATCAATGCAACAGATCAGAGAGGCCAGAAATAGACTTACGTGTGTATGGTCAAATGATTTTTGAGAAAGTTACAAAGACAATTGAATAGAGAAAGAATAGTCATTACAACAAATAGAGCTGGAGGGAATTCCCTGGCGGTCCAGTGGTTAGGACTCCATGCTTTCACTGCCAAGGGCCCAGGTTCAATCCCTAGTCGGGGAACTAAGATCCTGCAAGCCCCATGGCCAAAAAAAAAATGAAAGAAAGAAAAGAAAAATAATTAAAACAAACAAATAGAGCTGGAACAAATGAATATCCAGATGCAAACAGTGAACTTCAATGCACAACTTGTACCCTATACAAAAATTAACTCAAAATGGATCATAGTTCAAATTCTAATCTGTTTAAAACTTATAAACTTTTGGTGATTACAATAGAGCCACTATAAACATTCACATACAGCTTTTTGTGTGAATATAGATATTCATTTCACTTGGATCACTACCTGTTAATGGGACTGGTGGGTTAAATGGTAATTGTAAGTTTAACTTTACAAGAAGCTATAGAACAGTTTTCCAGAGTGGGTGAATGATTTTGTATCCACATCCACAATATATGAGGGTTACGATTGCTCCATATCCCTGTCAGCACATGATATTCTCAGCGCCCCCCTTTTTCTTAAGACATTGAAGTGGTTTCTCACTATGGCTTTAATTTGCCTTTCCCTAATGACTAATGATGCTGAACATCTTTACATGTGTTTATTT